AAAATTTTATCTTTTGGAAAAAAATTGTTTAAATTGATCAAATATACAAAATTTTGACAAATGAAAAAATTGTCAAAGTTTTACTTTTCGACCAGTGATGTTAAAGATAAAATTAAGAATCAATTTAATATTACTACCGCTTCCATATAATAAAACCCCTAGGATCATCCGGAGAAATTTCTTGAAAATTACAATCCCGATAATGTTGGAAATGCAATTTTTATTATTATTATATATTTAACCCCCCCCCCCCGGAAATTAATTTTTTAATCATGTAACTAAGATGGTTTTTTTTTGTTTCTCGGCAACATCTTTTATATATCAATAAATCTGGGCCATATAGACTAATTTTAAGGAGTTACTCTGTCAAAGTGCAGACACTAATATATGACTTCGTCTAAAAAGTTATACATTGAGATAATTTGCTTTATTGCATATTTTACTTCAGAAAAAAATCTTGATCATCAATGCCCATATAATGCAATAAAATTCACAGCCATCTGGCATTCTCTTGTCTCAATAAATCAAGTTCGGATTGCGTGATTGATAATAACTTTATATAAGGTGCAGATTTATTTTAAATTTTCAATGAAGCTACATCGTAAAAAAATCATATGACTGAAATTTGCCAAGAAAACTCTTGATCATCGATGACTGTATAATGCAATAAAACAAACCTTTTCAGGTAAAAACTTTATTAGGTTCTTATTAAAAAATTATTTTTTAATACTAATCTCAACTAACAATACCGTCCTATTACAACTCTAAGATGAATTGACGAATCTTGCATAACGCTTCTAACACATTTTTTCTTCCATGCGGTTCTGCAAGATCAAAACCAACAAATGGAATACTACTATTCCCTGGCCATCTAAAGATTGTAATTGATTGCTGTCGTGGGCAACCTATACCAAGTTCATCCCAATATCCTTTATGAATCACAGAACGATAAAACGTAACGTAAGTGGAAATTACACGAACTACAAATATAATCACATCATAAGTCATAGTAGCTTGACGTATATTTTCTTCACCACAAGCAAGCATTTCAGCAAATATTTGTGGTTCCCCATAGTTATTGCTTGGCCTAACGTTAGCTAGATGTTTATCCTATTAAAAAGATCGCTTGGTTAACAAAAATATGGATTTATCAGACAATCAAGAAAATACGGACATCAACGACCAATATAGAATAGTTTTTATAATCAATTACAAATCCGACTTTTGCTGACAAAACTGCATGGCCAACGGAAAATTTGAATGTTGGATGTAATCTATGTTTAGATGTAATGCAATTTTTAAGGAACTATTAAAGTATATCATAAACAAAAGACATTTCCACCAATACTCACTTAACCTCCAAGGGCCATTGATTAAAGTCGACAATAAGAAATATTAAATGAGCTACCAATGTATCAGTTAAAGACTCGCTCGTTCCTATATCAAGTCTCGCGTTCTTGACAACTTTGTGCAATTTGTTGATGAATGTTTTAACGTGATTATTTTGACTCAATTGGTTAATATCTAGGTCTTCCCTTCCGAGCAAAGCACGGTCGATATTCGGGAGAATGTACTCTTCTGGAACGTTGACTATATAAATTTAAGTCGTAAGTATTGAGTTTGCTAAAAGGAATGATATAACATACCAGTTCCCCTAGGAATAACATCGTTCGCATGCGTAGAGCAGAAACTTGCTTTCAATGCACGAACATCTCGAAGATTGAACATTGATGCAGAATTGCTGAGAAAGTCTGGGTCTTGTAGATGTTCTGAATCTTCACTACTACTGGTTTGTGGCATGACTAAAAGAAGATTTTCTGTTTTATCGGATAATCAGACAATTTAAATGTTTTACGCCAAGAATTATCTATGAGGTAATTGGTCGAATTTGGTTAATTACACAAACAGGTTGGCAATTTATATAGTCACACCACATTTTTTTACAGGTCTCACACGAATATTATGTCATGATTTAAAAAATAAAGTTTCGATGATTCATTTTTATTTAATGATTTAAAGCGAAATATATTACAAGAATAACTAATATTTTTTTACGAAAATTGACAGAGTTGAAAGGGAGAGAAACGTACGGCCTCTAGACTATAAATGTACGCCCCTATACTTTGGCTCTATCAGGTGAAAAACTATTTATTACTATTGTTATCTATTTCTTCATCATCATTATAATTATCATCGTTATTATTGTTAAATACAGATTTATTTTTTTTACTTTTAAGTGCAATCCAAGTCTTTATTGCGCCTGTGGTTCTGTGATCGGGTTTTGTTGTTCCATTATAAAAATTTTCAATGGTCTTGGCTCCGATAACTTTTATTTTTGTTTCTTTTTTAGATCGCTTATAATTTCATTAATCATATCAGATTTGATATGATCATTTTTTCGCATAGTCTCGTCGAAAAGGTTCTTGAATTTTGCACGAGTGAATCTGAAAACGAAGTTTGTCTTGAAGCTGAAAAAATTTCTTTTGCTCAGTGAAGAGATTCAACAAAGATTCCAGGAAGAAGATACCCTGACTAATTATTCAAGAAATCTTTCAAATGATAATGGTTCAAGCAGTTCTTGAGGTAAGTTTATTTCAATACATAAATATCTGTTATCTTTGGTGAGAGGCCCATAATAAATCAAATATTTTTGTATCATTTTCGGCAAGTTCATCTATTTTATTATTAAATTCTTCAATTCTATTATAAAGCTCAGCAATTTTATTATCAATTTCTTCAAATTTATTATCAATTTTTTTAGATTCGTTTTTTTGTTTCTCCTTCAATAAATCAAGATCCATATCGATCCGTTGTTTAAAGATGTATATAACGAATTAAAGCTTATACCTATAACTGATGATCGCTTCAATGTTCTTAGTGAACTAGGAACTGGAGAGGACTTGAAAAAGCAAGTAAGTTTCCATTCGAAAACATAGTTATTTTCAGATATGATGATTTGATGTTTCTTTATGGCCTTGAACGTTGAAGCAAGTAGTAACATATGCCGGTGAAGGGCTACGCCTCCGTGGTGAATGCTACGGGCTCGTTAGTAGTAGCTGATTATATGTAATAAATGCTACATGCGAAAACGTTGGGGTTTTTTAATATAACTTTCTGCCGAGTATCCTTGACATGATAATGGAAAATAGAAACCAATTGATCTTGCATAGAAAATATGAAACAAAGGCACCTACTTTGTAAAGTTTTTTTATTCCTTGCTAACAGAATTAATTCATTAAATTTCAGGTATCAGAAGCTTTTACATATATTAGCACCTTGGCACAGTTAAACGTTTTTGTAAGTGATTTCTTTATTTATCTTACTCATTAAACATGACAGGATTTTTAATAAAGGATTAAATATACACACGCAGAACATAGAATCGACATGGATTTCAGAAGCTACCAAAAATATTGAATCATTAAAATGGGATGTGCATAAAGTATGTACTTTCAAAATATGATGTTATTCTTTTAAAATCCATTACACTACACTAACACTGAATTCAGCTTGCCATGACAAGTAGAGATAAAGAAAAAACCATGTGGAGTAAGGTAGAAGCTGAATTACAAAATGTGCAAATAATGACCACCCTAATTGCTCTTATATTTTAGATAACACTTTCTGATATATCAAAAGAATCTCGCCAAATATTTAATGAGCCAAGCAGAAAATTTTTAATACCTGTGGACAATGCGTTAATGAATAGCTGTGAGCAATTTATCCACAAAGAGAGAGGACATATTAAAAAGGTTAAAAGATTTGGTGATGCTACATTTGGAAAATTTTTGGATGAACCTGAATTATTACAAGATATGATGGATAGGATGCTAGTTGTATTAGGACAAATCTGGGCATCTCCAAAATGGAAATCTTACATGGCCACTAAAAATCACACAATAAATGAAGGTAGTTATGTCTGTGAGATATTATCGCATCAGATGCTGTAAAATTATTAATTTGAAGCAAATCTCTAAAGTCCAATGCCTTTTTCTTAAGAACATCATTGGTTACTGTTAAGTTACTTATGCGAGCATGTGGGAACCAAATAACAACTGCTTCTTCAATTTCAGGAAATGCAGCTTGACAATTTCTTTTTTTATTTAAGTCTGTTGTTTCTGAATCTAAAGCAAGATATTTATCCTTATTTTTAAAAATTTTAGAGATTGCTGTTTGAGTGACATTATACTTGGCTGCTAATTCTTCTTGTGTTGGTTTTGGTTTAACTAAAAGCTCTTTGCAAATTCTACATTTTTCAAGAAAAGATAAGTTGTTTTTTGTTCTTTTTTTGTCAATTGAAACTTCATTATCATCTGTAATTCTGTGCTTAATTTGAAAGCTTGAATTCATTCTTTCAATGGTTAATAAAGTTCTTAAAATAATGTGACTTGATGGTTTATCCAAAAAATCGAATTATCACTTATGTAAAATAATCAATATTTTTAATGGTTATGTAATCCATATTTTAATGGTTACACAAGATATGAAATTAAAGTGAGATTTATTATATGATGGCATATAATAAACAGTAATGGAGGTATGACTTTATTGATTATTGAGATTTTGTTATGATTATGAAATTATTGAATAGGATTTTAATATAAGTGGCATTGGTTCCTGAAAATATTATGAATTTATCAAATATGAATTTAATGAGTAATAATCTCAAAAAAAAATAAATAAAAAAAAAATAAAGTGTAGCAATTTTATGACAGATAATAAAAATGTTTTTTTGATAGAATTAAAAGGGAATTGCGTTTTTATAATAACTAAAAGAATTTTCTTCCAAACAACAATTTTATCTATCATTTCATGCTACAATGCAGATCATCTATACTCAAGTTAAAATTTTTGAAATATTATGTGATCCACACATTGGATTTTAAAAAACTTACCACCATT